GTCCGTTGCTTTGTCGAATTGGGTTTTTTTTCTGTTCTGCTTCACTATCATAATAGACTGCATGTGTTAAAGGCCTGAAAACACTTTTCAACAGACAGCTTGTGCACACGCAGACGACGATTTCGAATGATTGGATCAACGAGCTGCTGAGCAAATCTACTCCGACAGAGAGCAAGGAACAGAGAGCACATCCTGGCCGGTCTGGCTTCGATCGGTGGCCTAGGGAGCGAGAAATCAGTTGCGGTGTCCTCCCGTCTCTAACAAAACGCGCTCTTTTTGCTGTCTCCTGGCGTTTTGGCCCGTTTCGGCGTCTCCATGTTTGGTGTGATGCGAAATGACTTTTTTACGCACGCGTGCCGAGAGACCATCAACAACCAGCGTGCAGAATAGCAAACCCTTCAGCGTAGGGTTGCTCAGAGCCCTTGATGGGAACGACACGTCAAGAACTCAGGTGGCACTCCCCGATGATGTCGTCTGGGTTCGATCTACACCCACCCCCCAAGAATCCACCTGACAAAAGCCAGTTCATTGTAAGAACGACCGGATTTTTATGAAGCCAGAATTTTGACGATCCTGGATTTCAATTTTTTTCTGAGTCAAGAATCCGGCTGTACATGAAATAGCCTAAGGTGTAGACTGGCGTCAGAGTAGATGGGACGAAAACAAAACAACTGCAATCACAAGAACTTGCTCTTACGTGTTGCGCGTTGAGCCCGTGCCATGTTTGATTTTGTTCGTCAGCAGGGTAGCATTTCGGACCCACCCTGTCAACGCATCTCCCTGCACATTTGAGTTGAGTCAAGAAATATCGCGTGAACATAACACTTTGATTGAACCATTGGCCGTCGTGTTTGAAGTGGCAAAGCAAAAAAACTGCCATATTTATTCTCCCGACTCCTAATGTTGATCCCCTCAGTGTCATATGTTGTGTCCTGCTTTTGTGTTCCCACCACGCCAACAGGACGCGGCATTACGGTCGGTGCAAGACGAGTTCTTACGTTTCGGTCCCGACGTCGATCAAATGCGGCATGTATGCTTCACAGCAGCCGCCTAGCACGCGCGTAGGTATGCCTTCTCGTTCTGAGGGGCTCACGGGTGATTCAGGCATGTACATTTTTGGCGACAAAATTCGCTTGTTTGTTGCAAGCAGCCTATACCTTCCGGTTTTTGTGTTTGAGCCCCGCTATTGGGGAAACGAGGTTGGGATAGTCCTCGGTGCGCATGTGAGACAAAACCATTGGCATGCCAAATGCAGTATGTATTACCTGGTTGAGATCATGGTGCGAAATTGAGTGAAAACGAGCGGAGTACGACTGCTCGATGTGACCAGGTGGATTACTACGGCTTGGAAACACTTCATAATACTGTCGCTGCAATACGAGGGCCAGCGTAGAAGTTTTGTTAACCACAATGGCACGTTGGCCGTCTGGGAGCATCGCGGGGCTGACAAGTAGTGCCATGGGTTTAGAGGATTACTACTGAACGTAAAAGTTCATTCAGTACGGATTGTGTTGAATACATCGATCGAAACCCAGCAAACGTATTGGTTTGATTTTGCACAATCGTGTTAGTTCGATATGCCTTTTACTGCTGCCCAAGCAGCCAGGGATTGTTTCTCCTCGCTCTGAAGAGTGGGCACGTGGGCACCGGGAGAGTTACATACGGCACAGCATCTTCCCACTGTAAGCGTAGCTGAGGGAGGGAGGCCATGATGCGCTAATACTGCTTGCTGTTGGCTTCCACGGCTGGACTCTGCGCACTGCTGCTGTCACTCAAAAGCACAAAGGGAAAAGCTCGCGAGGCACTCCTTGCAGTGCGTCGGCAGCCGATCACAATCCTTAGACCTACCTTTTGGAGGGGAAACGAACCGGTCGCCCCCGTGGTGACCTAGTAGCTGCCCTCGTAAACCTACGGTAGCAGGTGGATTTCGGTTTCTCTTTTGCGTGTTGTTGTATTCACCTGAAAACCCTTCCAGTCTCTATGGTGGTACTACTAACCGGGTCGGTTTGGTAGCTAGGTGTACCCGCGCACTGGCAGTATTTTGAAAAGACTGTTAAATATCGGGTAGGGTATATGGGCCGGCGAGCCATATGCCCTCAGCTGATCCCCCAGGCGCGGTCTCTCCAGGGTGTGAGGCGGGAGGCCGAGCCAACCAATCCCCATAAATGGGGTAGAGGGAAGACATCAAGGGTGTGTTCGGGAGGGTACGGATACGCTCGGTAGGGTATATAGAGGGCTGGCACCGAGCGTACCGAGATTGTGGGCTGGTACCGAGCGTACCGAGATTTTGGGTAGGTATGGTAGCCTTTACCGAAGTGTACCGAGACCATCGGTAGGGTTTATACCGGCTGAAATACAGGTGGTACACCTCGGTTCGTACCCGACCAAGGGTATGTATGCATTGGTTGGGGAGTAGAGAGCCCCCCCGGATGGGACAACAAGGGGGTAAGGTCATCTCCAGACCCTACTATCCAAGCCCTTGTAGAGCTCGGTCTACAACGCCCCCAAACTCGTAAATTAAGTATCTAGAACCGACTGCTGACTACAAGCCAGAACACGGACAAAGTGCGAGCGTCCTGAAGCGCTGTAGGCAAAAGTTAGTCTGTTGGGGAAATTCTGATTGTGAGTGTTCGATTTGTGACCCCACTTTTTGACCCCAGTTCTCTTGATCCCACATTTCTTGGCCCCAGTCAGACCGAATTCCGCATCTCGGCTTGGCTTTAGAGTAGGCCATCTCCGGGTTCAAAACCAACTCATTTGTGTTTGGTCGACGTTGTTGAGACTGCTCCGACAGGTTTTCGGGTGGGACTGAAGAAGTGTACATGATGCCACCGTCCACCTTTCTTGCAAGTGTGGTAACATTGCCTCTGCCGGTTTTTGAGACACTCGTCTCTTCATATATAAATAAAGGCCATTTTATGTGGTTTCTTTTTTTGGAGATCACTGGCCAAACAACCCCTTCTTACGAACTCTCTTTGTTTGGCAACAACGGCAGCGAAAGAAAGACAGCCCTTTTTGGACACCCTATCCTGTTCTTTTGTATAGCATTTTTTTGGATGGATTGGTGCTGCTAAAAGTGTTGTCCTTTGGTCACAACAACCCCATGACTCTTGACCTACAAACTTGAATCTCTGGACGGTTGATCCCCGCAAACTCTAACGGCAGTCACACGAGTTGTGTCATGTGGCTGGCCAGAGTCGGTAGCACATAGCCGTTGTTTTCTTCACTCGGCCGAACCAGGTGGACAACCTGTCGTGTGCTGCGGCAAACGAGCCGAGAGAGCCTGGACGCAGCAGCGGTATGTCATTCGTGTTCTGCCAACTATTGCGAACCCAACCTCTGGTCGTCCTATAGCCTCCTGCTCTGTTTCAACCACCACTCTAGACGAACCATGCCCACAGCTCGTGGGGTAGGATACCTTTGTCATTGCTGTTGCTTTAGTGGGTGACAAATGATCATCGTTGAACCAAACTTGCGAACACGGGCGGAAGAGCAAAACAAACTGGTTGCCTTCACACAATACTATTCTCAACGCCGGTTTATTTCGGCCTGATGGCAACAAAATGTACATGATTTCGTTTGTGAAAAAATGCTTGTGCCGTTGAAACGTGCCAGACACATTCATTCGACAACGCAGGCAACGTAGGCTACCTTCCACGACAAGAATACGGCTCAATGCCACGCCCACCACGACGGGGAGAGCTCCTCTGCCATTGATCTTGTTGTCTCCTTCCGCCCGCTCTCCTGTCGGGAGTTTTTTTCAACGAAACGGAACCCTGTATTGTGGGGTCCCGGGTCGAACCTTTGTTACTACTCTGGGGTACGCGGTTTCCTTGAAACACACAATCCGACCGGTCGCCCCGGTGATCTAGTAGTGGGTACCATCGACACCGCTAGCGACAAAGTCGTGAGTTCGAATTCAAATCCCCATGGGGTGAAAAAATTACAAATTTGCGGGTGAAAGCGAAAAAGCTGAAAAGCTCGAGAGTACCAATTTTCGACGTGAGCACCGTTGACGAGGGAAAGGGTTGTCTGGACCTTTCTCGAGATAAGAAATAAAATTTAGCACGCACCGCAGGAGGAAGGTGGGGCACGAAAATAAAGAGGAAAAAAGCCCTGGTGTTTACCTTACCCCCTCCTGTGTGACCCTGCGTGGTTGTAGTTGCACGAAAAATACCATGAAAGGTAACACTGCAAAGTGTAGAAATACACGTGTAGTACACGTCTCACCACGGAAAATGGGGGGACTGCCGCCATAATAAATAGGACGAAAACACACACATACACACATATATTATCCTCGAAGGACAAAATTCTCAAGCGGGGATTCGAACCCCGGACACTAGCTCTACGTATAACTATATGGGCAGCTCATTTTTTTGGTTCAATAGAGTTTGCAGGCCTTCTAGGTGTGCACCAGTGAGACGCTTCGGGGCCCCGTTCCTCGGCTTGATCATTGAGGTGGGTCGTCTTGTGCCCCCTACAACAGTAATGTGGTGATGAGGTGTCCTGTGTCCCGTTCTTGCATGCAAGGGGGAGTTCGTTTTCGCTTCCTTTCTCAACACCGAAGCAATATACAAAATGAGCAAACTACATGGAACAAGCCCGGCGATGAGTCGCCGGCTTGCTTTAGCACTTCGTGAACCTCCTTGGTGGCACACCCAACCAAAATGCCGAACACAATTTATCGGGAAATTACTTCACGTTACCCCCACGGGCCATCAACGCGCATGCTTGGTTGCCGCAAAACGCTCCAGGACGTTTTTTCAGCCCAATTTATGAAGGGCGCAAAACTTGTAATGAGTCACCGAGCGCGAAGCGCGACCGTTCTTTTCCCTTCATCTCAGGAGGGAAAAAACATGCTCAAAATATCGGCACGTTCAAACGTGATGGAGGGATCCCAAGTTTGATCACCGGTAAGCCTAGATAAAACCCTTCTTTCCGGCCAGAACGAGGTCTATAGAGCACCGATTGACGATCTGCTGGCTTCTGAGGAGGACGAAAATGGGGTCCACTTCGTCACGCCGGTCTGGTCGCTCCGAGGCCGTGCTACAGAGGCAATTGCGCCAAAATTCGCAGGAGATACCTCACTCCATCCATCCCCGGGTGTCCAGGAAGAAAGGCGGGATTACAAAAGGGGAGACTCTTGCGTGCATGATTCAAAGACACACCGCTGATTAGTCTCGCATATATCCACAGAATGATGGCTTTGGTTGGTTGTTCTTCTTCATTGTATGTCCACGGACCCATTCTGACAGCACTTCAGACAGCAGCTGCATGCCCCGAGCTTGTTGTGTACCATACACCATGGTGTTATTTTTGTACGGACAGCACTTCAGACAGCAGTACGCTGTAGTCGACAAACATTCATTTTGGTGAAGTGCGGGACAAGGGGGGTGATGCCGCTGCTGTAGTCGAATTGTAGTGTGTGGGCGTGTAGTTCAGTTGTGAGCACGCAAACGTGCTGCAGGGATTGATTGTAGGTGTACCTCCTCGGGCTTTTGTACCCTTTTCTTGCTAATAGTGTGCGTGTTCTTTAGATCTTCTGATGGATCTAGCATTTTTGTGACCACGGGCCGAGTCTTTGCTAGATTTTGGGATTAGCAACTGACACGAGTTGAATGTGAAGAAAACAACAACAACAACAGAATGACCCACCCGCCGTGGTCCAATCCCTTCAGCAGACGGTCCATACGAGAAAACGAGCTGGCTCTGTTGGAACTGCTGTGCTGCTGCGTCTTTCCACCTGCTTTCCACACCGCGCTGCCCGATGGGTTCTTCTATCTATTGTATCTAACCCTGTCTATTGTTCATTTTTTACCTGCAGCAGTGCTGTTAGGTGCCGATCGTTTGGCGGTACTGCTGTTGTAATCGCGTGTGTCACGGGGTGTGTGTGTTCCTCCGCCATTCGTTGGTGAAGCATTCGTTACCAGTGGGGAGCGGATGCTCAGTTTGAAAGATCCGCTCAATATATTCCGGATACATATGTATGAAGTGGGGAGAAAGTGTCCAGCACACACAGTATCACAGATACAGATGATTGCAGATATTGTTGAGCCGACCACACCGCTCATTACTCCTCTCTATTTTAGAGCCCCCGAGAACCAGTGTCATACGGGCACGAGCGCCCGACAGTGCATCTTTTCATTGATGGGTTGGGGCACTTCGTGGATGGTTTAGAACATGTAGTCGTTCTTGTTAGTCGTTCTTGCTCACACAAAAGCAGCAGCATTACCTTCTTTTTACACCCATGGGTCATAGACTGGCATGCTTCTGGTTTCGCGAAAGCTACGATCCACCCAAAGTGGCCTAAGCAGCGTAGTAACTTTCGCGTCGCATATCTTCCGTCGATGACTGTTCGCACCGTCAGCAAGTTCAGCTTCATTGGTACATCCTGTCGTGTGTTATTGGTGTGGGTGCTCACGGAGAGGCAAAGCTCAGAGCAGCAGCTGTTTCTTGTACCCGTTCAATTGGTTTCCTGTACCACAAAACAGTGACTGCAATCAATCTGTCTTCTTCTATTCTTTGATATATGTAGGCCGCATGCGAGA